TATATTTATATATTTGTTTTCTTGTCATCCAGTCTGTGGCTCCAGCAGCTTTATTTCTAGCAGCTAAAGTAGAGGAGCAGCCAAAAAAATTGGAGCACGTCATCAAGGTGGCACATGCTTGTCTCCATCCACAAGAATCACTTCCTGATATTCGGAGCGAGGTAGAAATTTAATTATACATTTATTGAGTCTGAATGAATCACTTAAAGTAACATTTCAGTGTTTATTTTTAAAAAATACATAGTTTTTATTTTAGTTTGGATTTTGTTGTTTTGTTTTTTCATGAAAGGTAAGTGCATTTATGAAAGTAAAATTGGAAAATAAAGAAAATACATTACCTGGAGATGAACCACTGTTATTTCCAGCTTTTTTTTTTAATAGATATACATGGGTATGTTCTGTATCTGTTTCTTTGGCATCCTCTATTCTAAATGTGTCTTACAGAGGTCATTCCTTGGTAAATGGAATGACGTATTCTGATCAACCCCCCCCCTTTTCTAATATAGAAAACATTTATTAGGTATACAGAACAGATAAATTTTGTTTATTTAGGGCCCACCAACCTTGAGAAAGTACCAGTATTGAGCTAGCAGTCAGGATTAGAGGAGAGGCAGCAATTGTCTGTAAAGTTCAAAGTAGAAAGGAGAGTGGGTTCCCTTGTGTCTGAATTCCTCAAGAGGACTCCCTTCTAATTGCACTGTAACTGAATCTTAGGTGTGAAAATCTTAGGTGTGTTATAATGTCCAAGTCTGGTCATTTGTCTCAGCAGTGCCTAGGGCTCCATGTTGGAAAATGAACAGCATCACTGACCAGGAAAATGACATCCCACCAGGGCCTGTGGAGGGGAAGGCCGTCAGGTCTTCACCTGCTAATTGTACTGAAAGATGTAGAACAGCTTTTCCAGTGCTATGCAAAGTTTTCCTCCCACCCTAGCTAGCTTTCAGCAGGTACCTCTCTTGGGTCCCCTAGCCTTGGTCGGTTCCACATCAAGCCTCTTCCCTTTTCATTTGCCCCATAAGCATCTCTGACTACATGTCTTTACCTTCCACCCTTTCCTGGTGTCTCCATTTTGCTGTCTGCCCTCAGCTTTTTTTACTTAATGCTTATATGGAAGAAAAGTCTTTTTGTTTTTGTGAATAAATAGACTTTTCTAGTGAAATGAAATTGGTGTTTTACATAGAAAAGCTTTGACCTCTGTCATTGTCTCATGTTAGACTACACCATTTCTTTCTTTTTTAGTATACAAGTAGTTCTTGCTGTTGGTTTTGAGACTACTAGTAAATACCATTTGCCTTTAGAATTGAGTTTTTTCTTAAAAAAGGGGGGGAAAATTTTCACTCTTTTTTTAAAGTTTTCTTCAAAGTGTCTAGCATCACCAGACTCCCATAAAATGTGTATAAAATTTGAATTACTATGGCTCATAATAACAAAAGTGTACTATTTTGTTATACCTATCAAGACATTATTATGCTAACGATGTTTTCATTTACCTGGAAGTGTTACTGTAATATTTTTCATGCTAAAATAGGCACCCTGTTGCTTTTGTTGTTGTTTAATAGGCACACTGTTTTATAGTCAAACATTAGACTGACATTGAATATGAACTATCCATATGTAATGGACATATTTGACCTAAAGACAAATTTAGGAAAAAAATTTATAAATCAAACTTGCCTATACATAATTTATAATCTAAGCCTTTATTTAACTTTTTAAATCCTTTTTTTCTATCTTTTTAAAAAATGTATTATTAATTTCAAATGAAAATTTACAGAGACAACTTTTTATATTTTAAACTTGATTTTTTTTTTTAAGCAAGTCTTCAAAATCCACTGTGTTTTACATTTGTAGCACATCTCAATTTCAGCTGTTTTTCAGATACCAAATAACCATGTGTAGCTAGTGGCTACAGTATTGGCCAGCATTGATTAGATATGAGAGAGTCGGAGGTGCTGTTTTGGTTAGGTTTTTCCTTTGAACTCTTCTATTAGTTTTTAAAAATACAGCATTATTCAAAAGAAAGTTTAACAGGGGTCAGATGTTTGAGACCGATTATAAAAGTCCTGCTCATCAAGTTTATTTTGATATTTTAGATTTGTTACATCTGAAGCCCACAAACTTTAAAACTGAAATGTCAGACTGAAAATGCACCAAATCCTTAGTGCTGCTGTTGTAAACCCATCTCATCTGATTGTTTCCAACTCATAGCAATGTTTTATTTCAGATTAGGGCACCCCCACTAAGCTTCTAATACTGTAATCTTTACAGTAGATTACCACCATATCTTTCTTCCAAAAAAGTAGCTTCCAAAAAGGTTTAGATTAGAGGCTTTCTGTAGGCAGCATGATATAAATTCCCACTGTCCTCTTTCCATGCTTTTTATTGTTTTGGAAGGGTTTATTAGAACTATTTAGACTTTTATTTGTTGTCCTTTAAAAAGGATTGATTTCTTGATCTTCTCACCTATAGGCTTATCTGCAACAAGTTCAGGATCTGGTAATTTTAGAAAGTATAATTCTGCAGACTTTAGGTAAGTATATTATCCTTTAAAGCATTTTAATTAGTATGTAATATAATTATCCTAAATTTAAAATTTACAGAATAGGCAACAGGAAGAAAATCCCTTGGAAAATTTTTCCAAAGTAGCCATCTATTTCCCAACTCTGTAGAGCTTAGAGTTTAACTTTGACTTAGGTCTAGATAGTACATACAGTAGGCCCTCTCTTTTTATGTGGTAGATTACATTGATTGTTTTGCTAATGTTGAACTATCCTTGATGTAAATTCTAGTTGATCATAATGAATATTTTTCTTTGTTTAATATTGGAGTCTATTGACTAGGATTTTGTTGACAAGTTTTACACTTAAAGAGAACTTAATGTTATTTCAAGGTTTAGTTTTAGAAGTCGTCATCACTTATGAAGGACTACTTATTCCAATCTCATGTTCAGTTAGGTTCTTATGCCTCTAAAGGAGTGTTTTGTATTCGGAAGTTGCTGAGTTTTGAGATTGATTGCATTAAATTAACTTTGTTAGTTTAGTGGTACTTTCCAGTTAAAAAAATAGTTTATCTTAGAAGAATAGTCTGCTTATTTTGTATGACTCTCTTAGCAGCAGTTTGGGGAAGGAGAAATAAGAGAGGCCTTCACTGATTACTAAGATAAAGGAAATAAAAATGTCTTTATTATCATTGGGTTTTTAACCTAAAGGTTTCTCTTCTTTTCTAGGCTTTGAACTTACAATTGATCATCCACATACACATGTAGTAAAGTGTACTCAACTTGTTCGAGGTAAGAAAACTTATAACTTGAATTTCCTACTGATTTTTATCATTTAGAACTATGTTTGCTGTTGACAAATATGTAATACAGTTGCTTTGAGTAAAAGTTAAATTAAAAGACCTCCCTAGTTTAACAGGGAGCTCTGGCCTAGTGGCAAGAAGCTGAGCTCCAATCCCGAAAGTATGTGAGTTGAGACCATCAGCTGCTTCATGGGAGAAGGATGGCTAATCTCCTCCCTTGCAAATAACTGCCTCTGAAAACATGCTGGAGGGTTAGCGATGAGTCAGTTCTGACTTGATGGTACACACTTCAGGAAGTTTAATCAGAATGAGTGGTTCGTTTCCAATTTTTCTATTCATAAAATGAAATGTTTTTATTGTTCTCCAGTTGAAAACAGTTATTTAAGTGTATTTGTCAAAGCTAGGGACAGATTTTGAAAAATCATAAGACTCTAACAGTTTTAAGGATGCCTTGGATTTGGGTTACCCTTTTGATTCGAAGATTGATAGCCCTAGGCTTTTCTCTAAGACCACACAAAATGAATGGATCGTCCACATTTTAAAAAGGAGGAAAAAAGGGAGCTCTCGTGGTAAGAAGCGGTAAGAATCCACCAGATGCTCTGCAGGAGAGGGAGGGAGGGGCAAGCTCTTCCTGTGCCAATTGGATCCAATTCGATGGTACACAACAACAACAAAAGGCAGTAAAAGAGTGAAAGCTTTGCTTTGTTGTATGTTTGGTTGCCATGAGTTAGAGTTGACTTGATGGCATCTCACATCAAACAACCTTGGAGAAGGTGCAGCCAGAGTGCTCTTTGAAAGCAAGGATAGATGATAGAGCTGTGTCTCACATACTTAGCATATTGCTAAGAGAGGCCATTCCTTGGAGAGGGACCTTATGCTTAGAAAGTCAGAGGGGCAGTGATAGGGAGAAAAGACCCTCAGCCAGGTAGATTGATACATTACTGCAGCAATGGGCTCTGATGTGTCAGAGATTGTGAGGATGGCACAGGATAGGACAGGGTTCCAATCTGTTGTTCATAGGGCCCCTATGGGTTGTATTCAGCTCAATGATACCTAACAGCAGCAACATCAGACAAAGCTCAGAAGGCAAGGAGAGGTAGGAAAGGACAAATGAAAGCAGAAACACAGGGAGGAGGTGAGAAGAGTATTGTTAAGATCTTTATTGATTCTGAGTTTAAATTAGACACTGTAAAATCTTTTTTATCAAAGTCATTTCCCACGTGCATAAAGGCCTCTTGATTCTGATTTTTCTTCCAAATTAGTGCATAGTTTGTCTTAGTTCAGGGTTTTTCACAGAATTCTTGCATCAGGATCTCTTAAGTTGTTCATGAAAAGTGCTTATACCTCTCTCCAAACATACTGAATCAACCTCTAGAAAATATGCCTAGGAATTGCATTTTAAACAAGTAACTTGGGTGCCTGGCATGCAGAATAAAACATGAATTCTTAGGTCTGGAAATAGCATGATAATTAATATTATAATTGAAAATTATCAGTTTGTCATCTCTGGTGGAATGTAAACATCAAGTGGTCAAAAAACGTCTTACTCAACACTGTGTTCTCAGATACTTAAAAGTAATAAATATTTACAAGTATAAGTATTTATAAGTATTTATTGAGACTGAATGAAACTAACATGTTTTGGTTTTTTTCCCTCCCCACCCCTTTTTTTTTTTTAGCAAGCAAAGACTTAGCACAGACTTCTTACTTCATGGCAACCAACAGGTTTATATTTTAAGGCTTTTTTTCTCCTTTTTTGGGATCAAACTTTACTTGGGTATGAACCATTACTTTGTAAGAGGCATAGGAAAAGTTTCAGATCTAGCAATTAATAAACTAGAACCCAAAGACTTAGGCTTAGGAATGATGTTTGATTCAATTTTTCTTATTTTCATTATCATTATTACTGATTTTTTTGGTAATTTTTATTTTATTTTAATGAACATTTACAGAGATTTTGGATTTCCATTCATTCATTGCTGCACTTCTCTCCCTGCCCAGACTTCTCTCTTTGAAAAGTAAAAGAAAAACTCCCTCCCTGGTACAGTCCCCCTGCACCCCTCCCACTGCCCCAAGTACATTCCACTATGCAACCTTAATTGTGGACTCTTGTGATAAACATAATACCCTATCATACATCGTTTTTAAATTATTCTCCCCCTCATCTGTTTCAGTGCAGTATACACAATTTATCCAGTTTTTTACAGTCTTACCCCAACCCTGATATCAGTCCCATTTTACAGCAGTGGCACCATACATTATTTGTCCTTATGCGACTGAGATATTTCACTCAGCATAATGTCCTCTAGGGTCACCCATTTTGAATAATATTGCATGAGTTCCTTGTTTTTCAATGCAGCGTAGTATTGCATTGTGTGAATATACCACAGCTTCTCTATCTGTTCGTTTGTTGATGGGCACCTGGGTTGTTTCCAACTCCTTGCTATTGTGAACAAAGCCACAGTAAACATGGGTGTGCATATATCTGCTTGGATGTCAGTTGTAGTCTCTTTGGGATTTATTCCCAGTAGTGGAATTGCTGGGTCAAATGGTATTTCTATTTGCAACTTTATGAGAAAGTGCCATACCGCCTTCCACAGTGGTTGCACCATTTTACACTCCCACCAACAGTTTCTCCACAGCCTCGTCAGCATTTGTTGCTTGCTGTTCTGTTAAATTTTGCTATTCTGACTGGGGTGAGATGATATCTCATAGTTGTTTTTATTATTAATTTTTAATTAAAGTTTAGAGAGACTTTGGATTTCCGTTTATTCATTGTTGCGCTTTCCTTCCTGCCCACCCCTCCCTCCAAGTTCGCTCTTGTCTTTGAAAAGTAAAAACAAAATTCTTTCATTGTTATACAACCCCTTCCCCCAAGTCCTCTCCACCATGCAGCTCTCATTCTAGATTCTTCTCATGAAAATAATACCTAATCATATATTCCTTTCAAACTAGTTCTCTCCTTCATCTGTTTCAATGCAGTATACATTATTTATCCCCTCTTTTCTTAGTTTCCCCCAACCCCGATGTCAGTCCTGCTTTACAAGAGTGGCTTTATGCTGTTTTTGTCCCTTTGTGACTGAGATATTTCACTCAGCATAATGTCCTCCATGGTCATCCATTTTGTATAATATTTCATGAGTTCCTTGTTTTTCAGTGCTGCATAGTATTCCATTGTGTGAATATACCAGAGCTTCTCTATCTATTCGTTTGTTGATGGGCAGTTGTGTTGTTTCCAACTCTTTGCTCTTGTGAACAAAGCTGCGATAAACACAGGTGTGCATCCATGGTGTTTTTTAATTTGCCTTGGTTTTATAATTATTTAGAGGTCCTGAGTGGTGTCGTGGTTAAGCTAAACACTCAGCTGCGAACCAGAAGGTTGGCAGTTTAAAACCACCAGCTGTTCTGCAGGAGAAAGATGTGGCAATCTTTTCCATGCAGATGGACAATGTCTTGGTAGAGTGTCCATGCCTTGGACACTCAGTGGAAGCAGTTCTGTTCTATATGGTCACTGTGAGTCAGAATTGGCTTGTTGGCAGTGGATTTAGTTGGTCATGTAATTATTTAGTACTGAGTCTTTGATAGTCTGCTGCTCCATTTTGCCTTTATTACTTGTTTTGAAATACATGAGATGTTCTGAAAATGTAGATAAACTTGGAGCTTGCTGAAAATGACTGAAAATTAATTTGATGAATTCTGCAATGCTTTATAATGGTTTTTTAAATAAAATTTTAAACTTTATATAATGTTTTAAAAGATTACTTTTTCATCACCCCCTGCTTAAAACAAATGGACACTTAACATGTGTAAAGAGTTGAAATATGTTCTTTCTGAAAAAAAAAATTAGGACGTTTTGGTGGCCTAGTGCTAAGAAACTGCACTGTAATCCCAAAGTCACGTAGTTCAAATCCACCAGTTGCTCCACAGAGGAAAGATGAGCAGTCTCCCCTTGTGCAGTTAATAGCCTCTGAAAACCCATTGGAAGGTTAGCTATGGGTCGATTCTAACTCGGTGGTACTCAACAACAAACAATTATTAAATGGTTAATAGGGCTAAGAAGTTCATTTTCATAGCCTGATTTTCTAAACCATTAGTCAAATATATTATATTTGAAGGAGTCACACCTGTTTATTTTAAATAGACTAGAATTGTGATGAGTAAGTGTCAAGATCATTTTAGAGTATTTCTGTAAGTTTGATAGAGGGATCACATGATAAAAATCATACAACAGTTTTCCTTAAGGTATGAACTTATTTTAAGGATACTTTGAGTGACAGTTTTCCTTAAGGTATGAACTTATTTTAAGGATACTATGAGTGTAGAAAACAATACTTTCAGACACTCATACTTGCTGGTTGAGATATGTAGCCTTTTCTGTGAGGGGTGTGGCTTTCCTTGTGAGTTTGTGTATGAATGATAATATAGGTTAGGGTTTGGAAGTGTTTGTTACTTAAGCAGATGAGTTAATAGAAAATCGTTACACTGAATGTTAACTCAGATCCCTGAATATTACTTGCCCTTCTTGCTCTCTAGTAGCTTTATTTTTTTTTCTTTTTTTTTTAAATAATGGAGTTTTAGCTTTAGTTCAGAATTGAGAGCTCATGCTAGTCTGTTTCCTTCCCCCTCTTGTCAGTCTGCATTTGACCACATTTAGCCTGCAGTACACACCTCCTGTGGTGGCCTGTGTCTGCATTCATCTGGCTTGCAAGTGGTCCAACTGGGAGATTCCGGTCTCGACTGACGGGAAGCACTGGTGGGAGTATGTTGATGCCACTGTGACCTTGGAACTGTTAGATGGTAAGTGCTTTTCAAAGTTTTAGTGTAAGGGACCTTGAAAAGCACTTGTTCTTGAACTGTCACATGTAAGGTCAAAGGTGACTTAATTTATGAAAATAATAAGTTAGATGAGTCACTCTTACTTCATTGCCTCTCAATTTAAAAAAAAACACATTTTTTTATTATTTTTATTTTATTGGGAAAAATATGTTGGGGATACACGGAGGTGAGGGTGGGGAGCAGAAGGGTGAGGATGGGCAGGGATGAAAATTGCAGGGATACAGTTGCAGGGCTGCACAATTTGGTTGGTTGGGGGAGCAGGTGAAGGAAATGAAAAGGATCCAGTGGGGACCAGATGATACAGGGCAATGGTAAACATAGTCCAATGGTGATTAAACAAACTATCTTTTTCACTTGTGGGTTTCTCCTTTGGGAATTGGGCACAAACTCTCTGACATCTTCATGCTGAACAGGGGTGTTGATGTGAAGGGGGAAAGGAAGCACACTTTATCACCTTACTGGTGGTCTAGGGTTGAAGCTGCTTGCCTTGTTCTGTTATATTTTCCTGACATTTACTCACCTCTGGACTGCAGAGTGTTTTCCCAGGTGGGTCCAGTGGAGATGGCTGACTGAACCCTGAGGCTCCATCCTCCTTTGCTTCCTTAATAGGCCTTTGTATTTCCTTTTGCCTCTGGAACTGGGTTCAGGGTCAGGTCTGGAGTAAAACTCAGTATTAAGGTTACCTATAGAAAATGGAGCAGATCTAGAGAGAACAAACTTGTGAGTTACAAGTAGAAGGGCTTTGGAGGTGTTACTTAACAGGTGTACTGGGGGAGGGGGTGGAGGAAAGTAGCCTCGATAAAATTCTCTGTATACCCTAAGTGGTTTTTTTCTACCCAGGGGTAGGGCTGAGGAGCCCACCCCGGGGCCCAAACGCACAGTGCATCGTCTTGCCACTAGGCCACCAGAGCTCCCTAAATTTTGTTTTATTTTGTAGAACTGACACATGAATTTCTACAGATTCTGGAGAAAACACCAAGTCGGCTCAAACGTATTCGGAGTTGGAGGGTAAGAATTTTTGGTTTCTACTTGTAGAACCCAGTAAACTTTCTCTTTTGACTGCACCAGTTCAATACACCAGAATTTAATGTAGACCTTAGTTTGGAATTTCCCCTTTTTTTAAAGTTAGGCAATAATGATGACTTCAACTTCATAGTTTGGATACTAGCCCAGAAGTCAGTGACTGTAGGTAATAGCAGCATTTGCTTTGTATTGTGCAACTCATGATGTAACTGGTCAGCAGAATTGGTTGAATATTTTTTGCATGGAGACTTATGGGGGCATGGTGACTTCTCTCAGTAACTGAGAAGTGGCTTCTTGTGAAGGTTAAATGCAGACTTATTTATTTATTTATTTATTAAATGCAGATTTATAAGAATAGAGCTGGTATTTTAATTTTGTCTTTCACATTACCCACTTTTCATAATGGAAAAAAATGCTTCTTTGTTTTATATAAACTGCAGAGTAAAGCTTAAACTATTAAAATTTAAAATCTCTTTCAATCTTATATGTGAGTTGTGGTAACTTACTACTAACTTCATTAGTGTTAAGTTGTGTTGCCAAACCAAATTCACCAGCTGTCTTGAGGGAGAAACATGGACCATCTCCTGTGCAGTTTACAGTCTCAGTCCCTGCTAAAGGGTCAGCTATGAGTTGCTTCTAATTTGGCACTTAATGACAACATGTGAGCAATAGAATTGTTACTTCTTTCCCCCAATAGGGAAAGTTTGTTTTAAATGCTCCCCTCATTCCACACAAAACCAGACAAATAAATTTTTTTCTTGAGTGACTTTTGAGACCACATAGTTCATTTTTTATTTTCATATAAAACTTCCCCAAAAGCTCCAAATTTTATTTTTGGACTAACTACAATAAAAAGAAGGCATGAATTAATTTTAGGTAGTACAGACTTAATTTTTTGTTACCTTATTACATCAATATAGACTGATGTAATAGTCTTATTTTTTCCTGGTGGTAATAATTCTTGAAACTCATGTTAGGTAGCCTGCTTACGGTCTATCTAGAAATTCCAGTGCTACAGTAGGCACAGTCTACCCATTTCTACCCAGTTTTCAGTCTACCCAATTGTTTTCCAGTTATTAAATTATCTGAGATGAAGAGTTTGTTTGTTTCATTCTAGGCATGTGTGCAGGCTGCTGGGAAAACAAAAGCAGAAGACCGAGGAACAGATGAAAACACTTCAGAGCAGACGATCCTCAATATGATTTCCCAGAGCTCTTCAGACACGACTATTGCTGGTTTGATGAGCATGTCAATGTCTTCTACCACAAACACAGTGCCTTCCCGTCCAGCCGCTGAAGAGTCGTCGAGCAGCTTGAGCAGTGTGGAGATACTACAGGGTGATCGTTGGCAGTCTTCTCAGCCTGTGCAGGGCCATCGGACTAGTGAGAATATAGCACTTATAGGAGTTGATCACTCCTTGCCACAGGATGGTTCAAATGCATTTGTTTCCCAGAAGCAGA